ATGTACAAGACAAAGTCCTCATCTGCAGTGTGTGAGCTGCGAGAGACGAGTGTTTCTGTGGCAGATGCTACCTGTGCTCGAGGGGTGGATCCGGGACGGGTCTTGTGGCGCAAGACGTTGACACGCCGCCCACATTATGGCGAGTACTTCGAAGGAACCGATATCATACGTGCAATATATGTTTTTGTGATCAGATTCCTGAATTTCTAGCTGGTCGAGAGGAGAACTGTCATCCGCATTGGAAATAGACTTGGACTGGTAAACGCAAGTGTAGATGAATGCGGAGGTGCAGGTCGGCGCTGTATCTTTCGTTCAGCAGCTCTTAGAGCTTTACTCAGTGGTGCTGGATTGCATCGAGCAAACCATGCAGATGATGATGACAAATTTATGCGAGCCTGCATGTCGTTAGGCTGACTGACCCTGATCAGATGTTACGTCCACGAAAGTGGCGCTACAGCAGAGAAATATCCATAGGTGGATAGTAGTTGACACTACCGAGTGCACGCTGACCAAGGAAGACTTATGCAATACGCTGAATTGGAGCAAACCTGTCAGGATCCACACGAGCGCTTGAGTGTCTTATACCAAGAGATACGAAGTGACACAGTCTGCGAATCCGAGCACACACAAGGCAAAATATTTAATAAGCGTATTTTGTTCGTGTATTATGTTCGCAGACATTCAATGGGTGTATGATCTTGATTTTGTCCGACCAGGAATGAGGACTCTTGGTCATCTCGACGTCTGCCGCGACGGTGGCTCACCCTGTACGAGATCCCAGTGATTGGCAGAGCCTGTGCACACTGACCACGTACTCATGATTCTTCAAAAATCATTTGTTGATTCTTCTCCGTAAAGCTCTTTATCGATGATGCAGCCTTAGCTACACCATTAAAAATGGACTTGAGAGTCAGGAAAAAGGCTTAAATGTTCGTTAAGATAGGGACAGACACCATCAATGTTTAGCTTCCATACAGCATCAGAGCCGACCCAGTGTGCACGCAGCTGCGTAGTAGGGGCTTGTAAGGCTAATGCTAAACGGCTGGATTTATTTTAATTCAACTAGTTCATTCTGATCCATCATTAGAAGGAGCTCGGAAAGACGCTCAATTTCGTCAGGAGTAGATCTTCAACACTCAATCACTTTAACTGTTTACCCGCTTGCCCGTTCAAAGCCCAAAATGACAATTTCAGTACGATTTGCGGCTAAAAACCCTACTTCAATCCATACTTGCTGGTAAGCGTTCACTGGCGAAGAAGATACCGCATTTCGAGGCCACTTTGGAAGGGATCGATCATTCTAACACGATAATCTCACATTCATTTACGTCCATAAAAGCGCAATGTGTCTCCACAAAATTATAGATTCTGTCTTGCACAGTATAGAGGAAGTCCTATGGGCGATGTGATACTGCCTAGTTGCGTCCAGGCTGGCAATTGTAATATGTATATGACTTCTAAATACAGGAGTATTTCCCAATGTGACGGACTACCGGAAAATGGCTGCAATTCACGCGGCTAACGAATCTAGCGACATTTTTTGCTGTTGAGGTACTAAATCACGAGGCGTCCGCATTGGTGTAGTGCCAAAGTCTGGGTTATCTCCACACCTTTCACGTCCGCCACATCGTGTCACGCAACAAGTATGCAATCATAAATTAATCACCGCTTTATTGTGCGTCAAATTATTCGTCTAAACATCTCTCAAATTCATAATGATCTACGGCACCGTCACCCGCGTGCACTTATCTACGGCGCGTCAAGCAAGTGGCCTTTAATTATTACCAGTACGAAAATGACCGAGTCCTTTATTGCCAAATGTTTACCCCTATTTTTCTTTTAACGTTTGTCAGATCGCTACTCCTTTGGATCCAAATACTTATCAGGTCCACGAACATTTTTGCATTTCCCCAGTATAATTTAGAACGGGCGGTACGTCTCATTCTATGGCGTCTTCACCGAGATTGCACTCAGCACTCGAATCATTCGGTTCTCCTAACGTTATAAGCGCTACAGCAGCTACATTATGAAAAAGTCGCCACGTGTATAGCTACTAAATGAAACAAAATGTGCGCATGTACAGTCTTGACCCAGTGTTTCATTTCTTCGGCTGAACTCGCTTGAAAAACATCTTTGGTGCAAATTTCACAACCTCAATGCAGTCGGCTTTGATCTCAGATAGCTCATCTAGAGGATGTATCCGGTGTAAGATCAAGGCCGCCTTTCTTTAACTCCACGTCATCTCTACTTAATAAAGGAATCACCGTCTTCATGATAATTGGATAGATGTCCTTCTAAAAGTACAAATTCGCACGTCTATCAATTGGCAATGCGGGCATAATAGGCATAACTAAGTTCATGAAGAACATCTTTCTATACGAGACGAAAGTGTTAGTGGAATCTTCATGTACGCATAACGATGAGTATGTGGCAGGTCCATGTGCATCGCGGACGGCAGCAGTGACAAGGCCGCACTTGCGAATTTCCAAAATGAATATTGTTGTGCGCACTAAAAGGGCTATTGTTGAATACACCTCACTCTTTACATAATACACCCCAATCTTACACCAATACCACATCACAATCTGATTTGTACCATAAACTTTACGCCAATTACCTCTGTACGTCCACTATCGCACATCACCTTCTGCATCAATCGTACACAAATGTTGAGTGATCTTCTAAGCAAACTTGTTATCGCACACAATAGCCGATTGGAGCTCTTTGCTTTCGAAAACACATTGATGATCGAGAACGACTCACTTGTCATAACATGTCAGATACATCTAAATGGCTAGTCATTTCATGAAGAAATGCCAATAGCTACGTTTCAGTCGAGAAAGACACAAAAAATGGATGAAACAAAAGTTCACTTACACCGAACGTAATCGCATTCGAACATTGCATAGAAAGTTACCGCTAAGAACGATAAATTCTATATACAGCTATAAATTTTCGATCGAGTCTATCCTGAATCTGCGTTAGGACCAGATCATTGTCGGCCAAATAGTAAAATGATTGTCTAGCTGCACTATGAGTATCCGATCTCCATCGTTCAAGGTAATGTGATAGGTCTCTTTTCATTAGTTGATTCACCACGTATATTGTATTTGATCTTTTTCCTTTTCAGTTCAAACGAGCAACATAGCCAATATTTGGATTCATGGCATAACATGCGACCAGCTGGCGTCACAATGTTCACCCTCCAAGATGCTACAAACGTGCTATAGCTTGTTTTTCATCGCGATATTGTTCACTTGTGCTTACTCTTATCGACGTACATTCTGCTAACACAGCGGGTGACGAGTACTGAGGGCTATTTGCGTCTGCGATGCTAGTTTTTGAACGACGCAATAGTCATTTCGCAGATACAAGATAGACTGGTAAAATCACATACCATATACACGACTTTTGTAGATTGTTGTGCTATAGTGGTCGTACACAAGTGAATTAGCGCGATGTTCGTCGTACAAACCATATTGTGGCGTAGCACGGGTGTGGTGTATGGGGTGTATCTCGTACAAAGTGGGCTGTATTAACAATCCCCTAAAATGCACCTGTGTTGTTGTTGCTAATAAGATTGGAGTTCGGGCAGGAAGGAAGGAATGTAATTGGACCTGAAGCCGCGAGTTGCACTGAAATTGTAACGGGGCACCCTGAAGATTGTACTGATGACAGTAGCACAAGCTACTTCTTCTGACGACAGAATAAGGCGGTGCCTCGGAACTTCACGTACACTGGTACGTGCAGAGGAAGACGGTAAGAAGAAGCGAGTACTTGGTTAAAGTAAAAAGTAGAACTGTATTTATCATAGTTAATGTCTGCAATAAATCACTATTTATCTTCATCTAACTATGTCTAAATACAAATGTGTAAATCAACTATCTGCTCACCACTCATTGCGTGCGTCTGTCGTGGCGCGTCTTCGTTGGTTGATATAATGGCCTATATCAACCAATTATGAACTACTCGTAAATGCTACAGAATATTGTCCTTATGACAATATTCTGAGAATATAACTCTTATAGTTATATTCTATTAACAATTTCTTATAAATTGTTATGTAACGATTCACCCCGTTACATCACCCCCCTTAACCATCAGTCACTTTAGTGACTGATTGACTAAATGGATACTCGTCCCAAATCATTTGGGACAGGGTTTGAACTTGTTGGTCCGAGTCCACTTTCCAACAGTGTCATCGCATGGTTAACAAGCCCATGTGATGCGCGAGCAAGGCCGCCGAGAGCGCGTCCGCACGTCTCTGTGCGGACGCCGGAGCAGAAACCACAGCAACTGATGTCTCATCGGTTGCTGAAGCGACTCAGCCTGTGTCACCTGGTGATGCAGGCGCTCGTCATGAAGACACTCATGTCTTCACAGAATATGAGCTCGGTGTCACCTTGAGGATGTAGGTCGTGACGCTTGGAACGACAAACTTATCAAAGCTCGTGATAAGTTTGAATAGCGAACCCCGACTGGTGCACGCTACAAGATGCATCGTCTGTCTAGGGAGAAAGGGATTACCCTGCCTCTCTTGGGGAGACTCGTCCCCGTGTTGTGTGAACAACTCTGCACGAGCATCTAAGGAGGCTTACCTCCAGAATAGCCCGTGGTGGCGCGTACGTATCTCTAGTGAGATGTACGAAGTGATTGACAACCTGAAATCCCTTTACGACCGTGCCGGGAAGACTTTCTCCGGCGGTCCTTCTGCGGTAGAGGATGTGCCGCATCGTACTGCCGACCGGACCCAGTACGTCAACCATCAGTTGGGAGCGGGTCTCCCAAGTATCATAGGACGGGGGATAGCCGCGCCACCGGACGAGGTAACTCGTCCGACGTCCGTTCACGTCGCGGTGGTTCAACAGCTGCTCAACCAGATAGCGCTGGCCACCGCGAGAGTCCTCTAATGGGGGTGGAGGAGGAGGGAAGACGCTCTCCACACAATCGTGGGGGAAGCGTGTGTTCCCGAGAGCTTCTTTGATCGCGTAACGCAAGGGTTACGCGGCGACCTCGAACATGAGCGGGACTGACGTCTCCAACTGGCGGACGCTGTCTCGAAGCATCGAGCTGAGTTTGCCTTTGCTCAGCTTGAGAACGAGAGAGAGCTCTGACGTCTCTTCGTGACGAGCTACGGGTAGCTCGTGGGATTGTTGATCGGTCTCGGGATGAGATAACTTTTTCAGACCCTTGTCGATGCCCACCATCGGGAGCACAAGTCTCTCTGCGAGATGCTTGAGCGCAAGGGCGTTCTTCACCGGAAGAAGCAGCGTACTGGTGGTACGGCTTAAGCCGACCAACGTAAGTGGGATGCGTTCGCATCTTACGTGGTAACTCGATTGTGTATGCATTGCCTAGGCGGTGCAATACACGAAATGGGCCGATGTACTTGGGTAGAAGTTTACTACTACCCAAGTTAGTCACTACATGCTTGGTAGATTAACCGTAGACAGTAGGACTAAGTCACCCTTATTAAATAAAAGAGTGTTTGCCCTTCCATTCTTGTCAGCGATTTTCTTTTGCTTATCCACCGCTTCGGCGATGGAGTCTTGCACAAAACGGACTACCGTTTCACGAGCCAGTATGAACCCATCTGCTGACTCGTTGGCTTCAGTGCGCTGTGAGCGCACTGCAGCGACAACAATCTTTTCTTCAGTGAGGGCTTCCGCACTCTCACTGGCATCATCTTCTTCAATATCGATGTTATCGGTATCGGCATCAAACGCATTAACCTCTTTGTCAGAGCATGATGAGCGTGAACCAAATCGGTTTTTGCTCGCGCGAGTCCCTCCCCCCCTGAAACCAGAGTCACACTCTAGTAAGGTGGGTACACGCGGATGGCGTAAGCCATTCACGTAAAACGGTGTATGTGTCGTGGACGCATGCACCGAGTTGTTAATGGCAAACTCTACCATTGGCAAGAACTCACTCCAACTCTTAAAGGAGTGTACGTATCCTCGAAGTATCTCTTCGAGGACACGATTGGCACGTTCCGTCTGACCATCTGACTCTGGATGCTCAGATGTCGACATCTTCAAGCGCGTTCCGAGTGATTTGAACATGGAACGCCAGAAATCAGCAGTAAATCGTGGATCTCTGTCCGATACGAGTTCACGGGGCAACCCATGAAGTCGGAAGATGGTGTCAATAAAGATACAAGCACAGCCACTTGCCGTGATTGACTCTGGCACAGCCACAAGGTGTACCATTTTGCTGAATCTGTCAACAAATACGAGAATACCCGTATTCCCGTGTGCGTCTTTGGGTAACCCGAAGACAAAATCCATTAAGATGGATTCCCAGCACTCAGCCGGAACCGGTAGAGGCTGTAAAGGTGCACGCAGTGAAGGACTTGACTTCACTCGCTGACAGACTTCGCATGCGCGAATGTACTTGCGCACAAACTGATACTGGCGGGGCCAGTAAAAGTCTCGACTCACCGTGAGATATTTTTGCTCACGGCCACGATTTCCTCCTATAGTAGCATCGTGATACTCGAACATGATCCGCAAACGCAGACAAGTATCATCTGGAATGACAACACGTGGTGTGTCACCAGAAACGGCTGTATAATACAGTAAACCGTTGTAAGTAGTGTATTGATCCGATGCAGATCGATACGCAGACGATAATCGTTTCAACGACTCTCGAGAAGGTCGTGAGAGATGTGTCAAGAGCTTCACAATCTCACCATCTTGGGCATATGCCCACCTCACATCATCATGCAACGTTGAAGATGGTACTGAGGACGTCATAACCGGCAACAGTGACTGCCTCACTGTTGGGTTTTCACGACTGGTTCAAAGTCGGGACGACGTGAGAGTGCATCAGCGACGACATTAAGTCGTCATGGTTTGTAATCTACCGTAAAGTTGTATTCTGCAAAGAATGACAACCACCGCGCCATTCGTTGTGAAAGTGTGCGGGCTGTTCACTGCCGTGCGTAATGACGCATGGTCAGTGTAAACAATGAAGGGTCTATCTCCTGATAGATAGACTCTGAACTAGTGAGTGCATACTTCATGGCAAGGAGTTCCTTGTCATGCACTGGATAGTTCCGCTCAGCTGGTTGCAGCTGACGCGACTGATAGCAGACGACGCGTTCAACGCCTTCAAGATCGTACTGCATTAGTGCACAGCCGATTGCGAAATCGCTGGCATCACAGACCACATGAAATGGCCTGTCCTGATCGGCTATTGCTAGGACTGGGGATTGTATCAAGCTCTGCTTGATACCCTCAAAGGAGCGTTGACATTCAGCGTTCCATAACCACCTCTCGTTCTTTTTCAACAAACGAGAGAGGTGTACAGTCATCTCGGCGTAATTGCGTGAATACTTATGCAAATACGCCGCTAGCCCAAGGAATTTTCGAAGACCTTTGACATCGATCGGCACAGGCCAGTCGGTGATCGCCTTGATCTTTTCGGGATCAGGACGTACACCGTTCTTACCAACGATGCACCCAAGAAGTGGTATTTCGCTTGCTGCAAATATACACTTCTTGAGGTTTGCATACAATTGATGCTTTCGCATGATTGTAAGAACTTGTCGGACGTGGTACCTGTGAACCTCAACGTCCGACTTTCCATCCATAGCTCGACTATGGATGAATACGTCATCGAAATAACTCGGCGCGAACTCTCGTACTGGTCTCAACAGATGTGATACACATCTGTTGAACGTGGCAGGGGCATTACTAAGCCCTTGTGGCATTAGTAGCCATTCCCAGAGCATGCCACTAGGCGTGCTAACTGCGGTATAGGGTATATCCCGTTCCCGCATTAGGATTTGATAGAAGCCATCCATCAAATCCATGGACGAAAAGATGGTACTCTTTGACATACCATCAATGATTACGTCCTTCCTCGGTATCGGCGTCTGAGCCGGTACCGTTGCAGCGTTCAATTTGTTAAACGCGTGCACTATCCGCCACCCTCCTGTTGCTTTTCGCACACAGAAGGTCGGAGAGCTATGTGGGGAAGTTGATTCCCTCACATGGCCCGCTGCTAAACGATCGGCAAAGAACTTGTCGATCGCAAGTACTTGTTCACGAGGCAGTGGCCACTGCTTCATGACACAGTACTTCGAGCCTGGTTTAAGCTCGACATCGTGTCGAATACCTTTATCCTTCGGTAATTCGCACGGAACTGTTTCAGGGAATACATCCTTGAATTCGACCAATTCTTTATAGAGAGGATTTGTCTTGAGCGATTCCCACGATTGGGAGTCGTATCGCTCAATTCGTGTCTTTTCATCTAGGACACTCTCGTCCATAGATGAACTACTGAGAACTCTCTCGTTCTCAGTAAACACTGTTGCTGACCTTATGTCGGTTACACACTCGTCGTCAGCGACGAGTATGCAGATCTGCTTGACTTTGCCACTACGCAGATCACGCAAGAACCTTTTATGTTCGAGCGTTGGCAACTGAGTGATCTCCGAAGTTAACTTCGGAGGCGCAATCAGATCAAGTGTATAAGCGCCTACACATGATCCGTTATTGACTATGACATTCAATGTCTCTGTCATTTCCTGGGGACTTATTCCCTCAGGCTTCGAAGGACTTATTCCTTCGTCTTCCCGGGGACTTATTCCCGCGGGTTTCGGGAACTTATTTCCGCCGTATTTGTAATCTTGACTTATTCCCTTATTTCCTCTTAGCTGGGGTTGCGCAACCACAGCGAGACCCTCTACGAAAGACTCTCCAGTCGATCTTAGGATTATCGTTTCGCTTAACCTGAGTGATCGCAGGATTGTTTCTCTTCTAGATGTTCCCCTCTAGGGATACATCTTTGTCCCAGTCCACCCGACTTATTCGAGTGGTGGACCTTCGGCGCAGCCTGTGTTTCCTCACTGCCGCCGGAACTTTGCTCCGAAGTGTAACCGTTTGGTACACTAAGGTTTTCTGCAGTCGTACTAACGACCGTACCACAAGTGAGGCCATCGCACTCACTCGTAGTACATCCACACGCTTGTGGACGCTCCAAAAACGTTCATCAGATGGCCATCTGATGAACAAGCGGCAGGCATCGTTACTGTTCGATGTTGCCAGTTTACTCGTGGTTCGTACCTTCTGAGCCACGGTATTCCAAGGATGACATCAAATTTGTCATCCAATTCCAATACGATAAAGTCATCGTCATATTGGGTATCTTCTAGCGTATAGTGAATCTTCACTATACGCTTCATAACGGTTACGGATGCGCCTGTCGCAAGACGTACCGTCATCCTCGTAGGAGGTGTGTCACATTCACTGAATTTAAAGTGACCATCTTCTAGCGATTGGCGTCGCACAAAATTGTTGGACGCCCCACAATCGACTAGAGCTCGAAGGGACAACTTATTCGTCACTTCGAGTTTCAAGGTAATGAGTGAGATCTCATTACCTAGAGCAGCAACGCACAACGTCTGTGTGTTGGGAGCAACCTTCATCAAGAGGCCTACAAATTCTCTTGACGTTGCTGGATCAGTAGGGTGCTCCGCACCTACTGATCCTGTCCGTTTTTTGACGGTCCATCCCGTTGTTGCGTCTTTGCACCAACTGCGGACCCCTCGTCCCTGCCCCTTTCTCATGGGTGGACGGTCACTACGCCCAGTGTCGCGAGACACTGGACGAGGGGCACTACACTCGTAAGCGTAGTGTCCTGTCTTTTGACATCTGTTGCATTTCTGCAACTTCTTGTATTCTGTAGAGCGAACCTTCTCGCTCTCTACATAACAGAGTTCCATCGGCTCTGGACCTCCGCTGTCATATCGTCTCGGTTGACGATATGATGTCGAGCTGGCGCGAGCCTGTCTCAGACTGAAGTCTTCCTGCTCCGCAATGGAAATAACTTGCTCTAGTGAATCTAGGTCAAGCCGGAACAGGTGAGTCTTGACGGGACCATCCGCAAGACCCTGCATGAACACCGAAACCAACGTGTGTTCATCCACCGGATTGGAACTTATACAACTCGTAAGATGTCGTATATGTTGCGCGTAAGCGTGCACATCACGCTTACCCTGCTTGAGCTTCAAGAGTTCGGTTCGAGCCCTGAACTCAGCTCTAGGCGGTTCAAACGTTTGTCTGAGCCGCGACTTGAAGACTTCCAACGACCCAAACGCATATGGGTCGTGCAACTTGAGCCCCAGTGCCCAAGTCTTGGCACGTCCTGCCAGATTTGACTGGGCGAATGCAACTTGTATATCCCCTTCGTCGATTCGACG